ACGCCAAACGGCAATTCTAGCTGAGGCGTCCCACCAAAATCGGCGCGAACGGGCTCGTGAGATCAGCCAGGGTGGCTCCCCCTTGGGGCTCCCAAATGATGCCCCTGGCAGCGTTTTGCGACCATGAGGCTCTCAAGAGATACATGTTGGGGAGGCCAAACGGCAATTCTAGCTGAGACGTCCCACCAAAATCGGCGCGAACGGGCTCGTGAGATCAGCCAGGGTGGCTCCCCCTTGGGGCTCCCAAATGATGCCCCTGGCAGCGTTTTGTGACCATGAGGCTCTCAAGAGAGACATGTTGGGGAGGCCAAACGGCAATTCTAGCTGAGACGTCCCACCAAAATCGGCGCGAACGGGCTCGTGAGATCAGCCAGGGTGGCTCCCCCTTGGGGCTCCCAAATGATGCCCCTGGCAGCGTTTTGTGATCATGAGAGAGTGTGAGTGTGAGTGAATGTGACTGTGAGTGAGTCTGAGTGAGAGCGAGTCTCATCTTATCTTATCGAGTCCTATCTTATATTACCTTTATTACCCTCTATCTTATCTTACCTTGTAATATCTTATCTTGTCTTAGCTTATCTTATATCAACTCATCTTATCGCATTATATCTTGTCTTATCTTATTACTCCATAGGCTGTCTTATCTGATATATTATCATACATTGTCATATATTTTATCTTACCTTATCATATCTTGTGCTATCTTATCTTATATTGTAGTATCTTATCTTGTCTTGTCTTACCTGGTGATTATCATTGGGAGGAGGGAGGCGCGAGCGGGAGGAAGGAGTCCGCGCGTGGGAGGCGTCAGAGTAATAACAAGAACCCCAATCCCTAGGATATGGGGAAAAACAGCAACAAAAACAAACGCTATACACATAAACTTTCGGCGTTCCGGCGCGGATCCCAGAAAAATCCGCGCGGAGCGCCGAAAGTTTCTGCCTCTGCTGTTTTGTCTTCTCCCAAGGAGGGAGGCGAGGGAGGAGGAGGTGGACGACGACGACGACGACGACGACGACGAGGATCTCGAGAAGTTTATGCCTCTGACGTTTGTCTTCTCCTAGGGAAGGAGGCGAGGGAGGAGGAGGTGGACGGCGACGACGACGACGAGGACCTCGAGAAGTTTGTGTTCATGTGGTCTTTTGCTCCTCGAACTTGAGCCCCCGGCGCGCCGCCGGGCCATGGCGAGGGCTCGGGCGGCGCGGGCTGGTGCGCGGGGGGCCCTCCTGCCCGAGGCCGCGGACATCGAGGCCTCCTCCTCACTCCTCCTCCTCCTCCTCCTCCTCCTCCTCCTCCTACTCCTCCTCCTCCTCCTCCTCCTCCTCCTCTCCTCCTCCTCCTCCTCCTCCTCCTCCTCCTCCTCCTCCTCCTCCTCCTCCTCCCCCTCCCCCTCCTCCCCCTCCTCCTCCCCCTCCTCTTCCTCCTCCTCCTCTTCCACACGTACACAATATGAATGCTGCTCTCCTCTCTCCCCTGGCGACGTCTGGGAAATATTCGGCCCCCCTCCGCGCATTGGTTTCTTGCACACAGGATTCCCAGGAAACGGGTTTTCGCTTGGGTTGTTTTTTAATGCTGGTCTCGCTGAAGCTCTGGCTTCATTTTCGGGCTACCGCTCGTTCCGAATCGTGCTTCCGCTGCAGCGTTGGCCTCGTTTCCGCGCTTCCGCTCGTTTCGAATCGTGCTCCCGCTGCAGCGTTGGCGTCATTATTTCCAGCGCCATGCCACGGCATGGTTGTCGGTCCTTCCAAAGAAGCCCCAAAATCTAGAAAATGCCCCCCCCCCCCCAAAAAAAACATTGGAAGTGATTGCGCATTCGGTGTTGATTCGTTGGTTTCTTGGGCCGCACAAGTCCCCCCCCTTTGGTGCGTCGTCGTTTTCAGGATGTATCAAGCGGGAGCCCCGCCGCAGCTTTGAGAAGGAGGTGTTGCAAGCAGAGCCAGCGGGTGCTCTCCATCAGCCCCCCCTTGTGGGGGGCTTTCCGGGGAGCCCAGGGAGCTAAGCATGGAGCCGCGATTCCAGACTGGCCCAGAACCTTCGAAGACGATCCACTCACCCTCCAAGGAACCCGGCGCCATGCCATGACATGCTGTGCGGTGTTGTGTTTTGCGCCGCTGTGCGATGCCATGTTTTGCGTTGCAGCGTTTTGTGATGCAACGCTTCAGTGCGCAATGCCACGCCATGCTATGACATTATTCGGTCTGCCGTGCTTTTCTACGCCATGCCATGCCGTGTTGTACCATGCATCGCGCACCCTCTCGTGATCATTGCCCTGCTTGACATCCGAGTGCGCGAATAAAGAGGATATTTGCGCCATGGTAAGAGATGGGAGGGAGGGGTAGGACCTCAGATATGACGCGAGCGTACCTGTCTTGTCCTCCTCCCCCTCATCCTCCCCCCAGCCCAAGGCCGCGGACGACGCCGGCGGAACGGCGTCCGAGGCCGAGGGCACCGAGGCGGACCTCGGCCCCGCCGCGCCACGGAGCGCCCGGCGGCCGATCTCCAGGCTCGGGGCGCTGCCACAAACGCGAGTGCACGCAAGACCCAGACCTCCTCGCGCTGCGAAGAAATCACGACGGGAGCTGTGAGATAGTGCATGCGTGACGTGTGTATACGCACCACTCGCCGCCGTTTGACCTCTAGGGGCCCCTTTTTGCCATTGCGCTAAAGCGCATCATAATCACATTGGGCAGCGGAGCTACCACACGATCCCCGTACCGTACCACTGCGCACACGTCTCGTCAGAGAGCGTAGCACATCTTCTCGTTACTTTCCGTACTGGCAGTTTCCCTCGCTAGGGGACTGAGCCTTGCGCCATGGCACCTTCTTCTCTTCGCTATCGGCCGAGCGCCGACGCGCTGACGCGGTCCGAGACGAAGAGTGGCTCTTACATTTACGACGGCACGGTGAACAACTTCCACGAGTGGGAACTCCGCACAGAGATGCGCATGAGCGCCGCCTTGGCCTCAGTGGATCAAGAGACGGGTGCAACATAGCAACACGTGATCACCGCAGCTGTCAACAAGGTTGTAGAAGGCCTCAGAGGTGACGCACTCGACATTGCCATGGATATCAGTAAGGACGTGTTTCTGACTCCGAATGGGATCGACCAGCTGGTGCTGGCGATTCATACTTCACACTTCCCCATACAGGCACAGGAAGCGAAGATCCTGTTCCAGGTGGGGCAGAGACCATATAGACCACTGTCACGGCAGCACGGTGAGTCTGTGGTCTGGTACATCTCCCGAAGGAAGCGCTGGTGGAAACTTGCCTCCAAGTTAGGTCCTAAGATCTTGATGAGTGACGATGTGCTTGGATCCCTTCTCTTGAACTATGCAGGTCTCTCGCCTTCGGAGAACCTGATGGCGTTGACATCCACAGGAAATGTGACAACCTTCGAGAAGATCAGGGACGTCTTGATCCTTCAGCGCGGCCGTATACACATCCGCCAAAAAGGCACGGTTGAGTCCGGCAAAGGCTCCAGCTCTTCGACGCGGGCGCAGCCCAGACCCAGCTACCAGAAAAGGAGCAAGGGCAAGGGCAAAGTGCGATCCCCAGGCCACAACACGCCTTCTACACGGCTGACGAAGGATGGCACGAGCAGGAGGAGCATGACCTTGAGGGGCTGAGCCCCCACGGATATTAGGCGTCCGGCTACGCGCCAGAGCGCGGCTGGGACGACACGGCCCGGGATGACTACGCCGACGAACACACCTACGTTGACGAGGAATCGCATGCTCACTGGGCCCCTGTCCAGGATAGCAGCGAGCTCGACGTCGAGGTGGTCGACGAGATGGTCAAGGCTGGATACACAGAGGAAGAAGCCTCTGACGTGATCCAAGAGGACCTGGTAGCCAACCTCGGCACCAAGGGGGGGAGCAAAGGCAAAGGAAAGAGCGGAGGCAAGAGGTGCCACTACACGCCCTGGTCGCCTAAGGGAGGCGGCAAGGGGGGACCTCCCCTGGAAGATCGCAAGAGGCGGCTCCAGGAGATCAAGAAACGTTCGACATGCAAGACCTGCCACGAAACAGGCCACTGGTCCGGGTGCCCTGAATGCAAGGGCAAGCCCAGGACGGCAATGGTAGCGCATGCTGGAGACACTGGCGAGCGCCGCGTCCAGTTACGCGAGGACGACGACGAACGCCAGTTCACATCTGTCAGTTCTGTTGCTGCATCACCACCCACCCCACATCAAATCATTGGTAACAAGGAGGAGTCGATGAGGATGGATTACGGTGTTTCTCGCTTCTGCTCTTCATTCTCTTTTCGCATCATGCGCCACAGGGCACGCGTGCACGCGGGGGCGAGTTGCGACGGACAGCGCAGCTGGCGGCACAACCACGTCGGCATCATGTCTGCGAGAGTTGCACGGGGATGGCCGAAGCCACTCGGGTTCAGGGACCACCGGGGCCTCGGGAGAAGAGTCTTCAGACCTCCACAGAGGCTGAGGGGGGTACTCTAGGGTTCACGGCGGTTCGCCCGACCGAATCTCGCTTTTATGGCCAGCGTTTTGGATGGGGAGTTTGAGGGCGAGGAATCTGTTGCGGAGCCTATCTCTGCTCTTGGTCAGGATGCAGCGTTCGCCTCGGGCCAGCACGAAGGGCTCAGCGATGGCCGCGTTCTCAGGAATACTCCAGACTACGTAGATTGGGGCCGCAAAGTGAAGAAACCGAGCGAGGATCTTGTTCTGTTCTCAGGATGGGTCGATAGCAACTTCACTCGGAAGGAAGACGGACAGTCTGTGAGAGCTTCGGGGCCGAAAGTTTCCAATGACAAAGTTTTGCCTTCTTCGATTTCTTCTTCCGGCTTGAACAGGAAACCTCCAGATCCCCCGCTGCCTCATCCATGTGCTCGGGGGCGTAAGAATATCAGGAGTTGGTTCTGGCGCTCGTTTCATTGTTCGCACCTGCAAGGATTGCGGTCACCGGGCCAAGAAAGAGAGGCACGCGGCACTGCACTCCCCGGGCGAGTGTCCGCACGATCTCGTACATAACCGCGGCAGTGCTCCAGATACCGCTCGCGCGTATTGTTGTTGTTGCCTGGCACATATTGATGAACTGCCCAGGAAGCTAGCAGAAGACAAGGAAGCAACAGCAAAGAAGGTCGAACGCTCCAGCAACGCACAAGCAGAAGCAATCGAGAATATTATCGAGGAGGATCGCCGCATCACCTCTGTAGAGTTAGATGTTGTACTAAAGGCTTTCAACGAACGTGCTATTGAGATTTGCAATGATACAGGTGGCACTAGCACAGGTGAACTAACTTCGTTGCTTCATGGCTGTGTCACAGAAGTCACAGATCACAGTCTTGCCGGTTTTATGGCTCCAACACAGAACGTTTTGACCGAAGTTACAGCTCTTTCTAAGCTGCGTGCGGTTGGCGCCTTCAAATATGAAAGTGTTTGGGTCGTTCTAGACGAGGGTTGTAATTCTTGTTGCCGCGGCAGAGCTTGGGCTCTTAACGCAGAGGAAAAATCTGAAATTGGGTTTCCATCCTAAGCGCGCCCACAGACAGCGCGAGACGCACAGCGGTATAGGAGGGCAGGCAGGGAGCGAGACGACAGGCAAGAAGAGTTTCTTGTTTCGCATCGTTGTTTCTCGTGGCGCCGTGAGTGGATGTCTCGAGTCGCATCAGTTGAAAAATTCGGATCATGTTCCTCTCTTGTGATCTCTTCCTGCACAGGCTTCTCTCGGTCTCGTGAAGGATATGGCCAATGGGCGCGCTCTCTTGAGTCAGGAAGGCGAGGTAGAAATGTGTCGTTGTGCACGCTCAGGTCTTCTTATCATTCGTTTCGATCCGATTGATTCTAAGCGCGTTGCGGATTCCATTCGTCCGTTGCAAATTTCGCATCCAAGGAACTACCCAGCTCCCGCCGGCCGCGCCCCGCCGCCTGCCGTCGTCGACCACTGCGGCGGCGACGGGATCACGTGCGCGCCTACGCCCGTCGATCACTCCAGCGACGACGAGGACGCGCGGATCGTTGCCATGGCTGCTGGTGCTGGCGCTCGCCCCACACTACAGGGCTCGAAGTTTGCAGTGGCCGCGCTGGGTTTGGAGAACTTAGAAGAATCCGAGGTGCTCGGGGTCGTCGATACTGAGAGAGTACATTCGCCGTCACCATCGCCCAAGTCATGATATGACCACCAGAGGGCACGACGCCAACGCCGTCATAGAATGCGCCCATTTCTGCAGATGAGAATATAGTGAACTATGATCGGTACGTGTTGGTGGACACCAGCGCTCTGAACGATCCGACTCACACGCGCCAAAACGGGCATCATCCGAACATCTTGCGCAATTTAGTTGAGATTGAACACTTTGCTGGCATCGCTGAGTGCGTCGGAGAAGCTTTGGCGAAGAACAAGTCTTCACAGTCTGTGTGTATTGTGGCCATCTGTCGTTCTGGCTGGCATCGCTCTGTCGCAGTCAGTTATGGTATCAAGCAGTCCTTGAAGCAGTATGACATCGAATGCAGTTCTGCGCACCTGACCCGTCATGAGTGGCCCCAGCGTACTTGCAACGGGGAATGCGATGACTGCTGTCACGTATCCGATTGGGGCTGTGAGATGGCGCGCACTGCGGCTGACAAGAAGGTTTCGCCCCTTATTGACTTTTTCGAGAAGTTCAGTGCACCGCCGCCCCCAGTTCCTGAGCCATCTGCAAAGCGCAGACCCCGTGACGGGGCTGAGCTGGCCACGAGGGAGGAGAAGAGGTCTTGCGCTTCATCGAGCGCGGTTGCCGGAGTAGACGACAACGACGTGGCCACTGTCATCCGCGAGCACATCAGAACGATCTGGCGGGGACGTCTTGGCTCTGAATATATTGAGGCAGATTTCAAGGTCATAATGAGGCGACATGCTGGGAAACAAAAAACTGCACTTCTATTTGAAGGTCTGTCACGAGGACAACAGGACGCCTGCAGATTATATGCGATTTGTACGTATTGCTCGTGAGTGTGCAGAGAATGGCATTTTACCCAAATCGTTGGTGGCAGTTCTTCATCTGCTGCTGCACCGCCGCCACCTGTCGCCGCATCGTCTTCTGCCGCCGCATCATCCCTCTCACATCAAACACGAGATTCGCAGGACGATGACGACGACGTGCCGAAGAAGAAGGCCCGCATGAGCAGCACCAGCAAAGTGACGGGTCTGCCGCCCGGCGAAGCTGCCCCTCCGGGCACTATCGTTCGCCCTCCTGGGATGCCACCTATGATGCCGCCGCCCAAGCACAAGCCACCTGTCCTCGTGCCGAGGCAGCTGGACGGACCGCCGCCTGCGCGCCTCAGGACTCCCCTGCCACTTCCGCCACCGGAGACGCCTCGCAGGGTAGAGCCGCTGCCGTCACCACCGCCGCCTCCGGCGAGTACTGTAGCCGCCAGCAGCGACGACGAGTCGAAAAGACTCGTGCGCCCCGTTCAGGATTCACGACTTCTCCTGTCGAGAGGAACCTGGCCGCGGTGGGCGGCGATCGGGCCAGAGATCCAGTCGTGGACTTCGAGCCGATTGC